AGATTAATAGTAGTTATAATTATTGGTAAAATGTGCTTGGAAAAAAATATGATCAGAATATCAACTTGCATAATAATTATGCATGCACTGTATTTTCCCACTTCTGCCGTCCAGGTAATGCAAGGAATTTTGTGATTGGTTGTCAAGGCAGCCAATCAGAATTTAGCAGCCTCGTCTCTGATTGGCTGGAATTATGGCATATTGTAACGCTGGGTTGTGTTGTGCAAGCGAGCCATTGGCATTTAGAGAGCACTGAGGGCGGGCATCAGGTGAGCAAGCTAGTGAAAGGTTGCACTTGCAAAAGAGAAGGTCTGCACTAATCCAAAAACTTATTTTAAATGCAAAATAGATTTTCGTGCGCTCGAAATGCTTTCTTCTTTGCGAGACAAACATTTTCTCCACAAAACTCAGTTTGCTCAAAATATGATCTTTCGCGCGCAGAATTGTGGCAGAGATGTAATCCCATAGTCCTGGTATGGCGTCGTTGTGAGCATGCGCACTAGGTCAAATGAGCGTACGCTCCGCTCTGCTCCACAGTGAGCGGCGTGTCAGTGAGGAAGGTGATTAGAGTGTCTTCTTCTGCATACATGACTGTCTGTCGACAATAGCAATGTGGCGCAAGCTGTTCACCTCCGTCCCTGCTTTCAGAGCCCTGAAAGCACCCTGTCGGAGCTTTAAAAGCAGCAGCAGGGGAGCTGAAAAGGACTTCTTTAAAGGTGAGATGATTCACTTAATACACATTATGCATCCGTACGTTTATATCAATATTAGAGGCGTTAAACGTCCTGAGTAAACTGTAAGTGGTGACAAAGTCATGCTCGCATTTCGAATCCTACTATGACTGACAGAAAGGTTAGCTCATTAATATTAATTTAGTCATGGTCATGTTTGGTCATTAATTTGGTCAATATTCATGAGTTAAGCCTTTCTCGCAGTAGCTGTTCGTTCATTCGCTAACTGCGCAACGCCCGCTTGCTTTTCAGCAAATCAGTGAGCTCTACAGGTCGAACGTAGCGATGCGTAATTAATATTCACGAGTGTTGCTTTCGCTATAGTAGGATTTTTTAATTCGCATCCTGCATAACAAATATTATAGATATAACTGTAATTCAGTCCAGTTCAAAACTGTAATCAAAGAGAAATATATTTGTAGTGTTTATAGTTACAGTAGATGAATACAAATGATAATTTGTATTCTCTTTTTTTATTACATTTAATTCCTGAATAATTCTAGTCGGTTTCTGTTTTGCTTTTGGATATAATGGTATAATTACCAAACGAAATAAATGTTTTCTTCCAGTATTTAGAGGTATAAATGAGAAATTTACTACAAACCAGCATTACATTAATAATAAAACTCATTATCTAACAAAATTACAAACACAGTATGGTTTCAAGAAAATGTAGGTAATGATGAAACTGGCTTCTGCCGATAAAACATACTCTCATCTGTCTCATATGTAACTCGTTGCAGATCTGGACACTCAGCTGCGGGCGTTTCGGGACAAAGCGGCTGCAGCAATGCCCGGCAGTGACTGGAGCCCGATTGAGTTGACCCCTGGCCTGCCCCCGGAGAGGGCTGATGTGGTGATTGTAGGAGGGGGAGTCGTAGGATGGTCCATCGCATACTGGCTAAAGATGAAGGCGCGAGTGAGGGATGGTCTGAGAGTGCTAGTGGTGGAGAAAGACCCTACTGTGAGTTTATTCTAGGGCACTTGGGAGCATGTCTCAAAAACTAGTGAACGTATTTGATGCTACAAAGGTAATGTCTATGTAAGTGGCTCAATAAGTTTTAAAACACAGTGTCTGCTATATACTGTGGAATGCTAATAATCATGTATTGATCATGTTTTTTAAAAGTTCACCCACAAAAAAGAAAAACTTCTTATGTTGTTCCGCTCCCACCAGACATCATATCAATGTCTTTGGGAAACAATTAGATTTAGTAAAATAAAATTACAAGTGGACGTCTGAGTAAATTAATTCAATTTGAAATATTGAGTGAATAAGCAAAATGACCCATTTGCAACTGAAGGTACCACCATTATGGTAACACAGTCTTCAGTTAGTTCAGAAAATGCATAGAAATCATTCATTTGATTGAACATTTATTTGATTGTCCCCTTTTTCTCTGCATCATCATTTTTTTATACAATGAAACCAAATTAGATTTTCAATGCAACCCTTTAATTCAAATGAAACTGAATTGAAACGAGTCTGTCTGACCCTTCTCCGAGGAGAGAAAAATCCTGTTTCCTTGTGAACTATCCCATCCGCTCAACAAAAAACCTTTTTTTTTTTTTACTCTCTTACCCTTTTCTTACATTTTTTAAATTAAACAAGACTTCTCCTTTTGTGTTCCACGAAAGATAGTCATACAGTTTTCAGAAGACTTGAGGCAGAGTAAGTGATTTGTTTTTTTTTAAACTATCCATTTAATGGTTAATATATTAAAATCATAACACCAAATAAAGCATTGCCCAAATATATAATAATATAAGTAATATTTCAATAAAAGATCTATTAATTCATTCATTGTGACGCATGAATGACCGGAAAACACTTTGATTTTTTTTATTTTGTTTTTGCGTTTTGTAAGATTTTAATGCTAATAAATAAAAGGTAATTACAAAACATTTTTATGTTCCTCTCTCTACAGTATTCCCAGGCGTCGACTGTGCTGTCATGTGGTGGAATTCGGCAGCAGTTCTCCTTGAAAGAAAACATCCTGCTGTCACTGTTTTCAGCTCATTTCATGAAGAACATTAATGTAAAATCTTCTATATTGCACTATTAAAAGCTTTCCTGTTACAAATGCACTGTAACCTACATAATTTGTGATGTGAAGTCTAAACATCAGCTAATTTCTAGAGACTTTAAATATTTTGTTGTAAATCATTCTAAATGTTCTTCACCAGGATCATTTAGGCTGGTCTAGAGTTTTAGAATACTAATAAATGTTTGCAAATTTGTATTTCTGCTGTGTTTTAATGCAACAGAATCATCTCTGGGTTGTAAATGAAGACCCCGTTGATCTGCAGTTTAATCATTCCGGATATCTCTTCCTCGCCAGTGAAAAATCAGCTCATATTATGGAGGAAAACTACAGAACTCAAAGGTAACAGGAAAAGTTGGATTACCAGACAGATTATATACCAGTTTCTTTCAGCTATATTAGGCGTTTTATTATCTTTATGTTAAAGGGTTAGTTCACCCAAAAATGAAAATTAGCCCATAAATTACTCACCCTCAAGTCATCCTATGTGTATATGACTTTCTTCTTTCAGACGAATCCAGTCGGAGTTATATTAAAAATTGTCTTTGATCTTTCAAGCTGTTTAATGCCACTCAACGGGTGTTGCATGCTTCAGTCCAAAACAAGTTAAATAAAAAGCGCCCATCCATAAAAAAAGTGTCTCACAGGGCTCCGGGGGGTGAACAAAGGCCTTCTTGCTGAGTGGCATTAAACAGCTTGAAAGATCAAAGACAATGTTTAATATACCTCCGACTGGATTCGTCTGAAAGAAGAAAGTCATATACACCTAGGATGACTTGAGGGTACGTAATTTATGGGCTAATTTTCATTTTTGGGTGAACTAACCCTTTAACATTAGCTGATAAACAGCCTCGCAATACAAAGTTAAAGATTAATCAAACATGTTTTTGATTTTATTGGTAGATACGTGGGTGCGAAGGTCGTCCTCCTTTCACCATCCCAGCTGAAGGAGCGATTCCCTTGGATGAACACGGAGGGGGTCGCTCTGGCTTCTCTTGGTTGGTGCCCATTTTCACAATCTTTGATACATCTCACATGCAAACTTCATTGCTGAGTGACATATTTATTCCTCACTAAGGACTAGAGAACGAGGGCTGGTTTACCCCAGCGACTTAAGACTGGTTTTGTGCTCCAGGGTCATATATTAATTAAATATTACACATATTTTATTAATTAAATCCATCCATCCATTCTTTAAACTGCTTATCCACTGTAGGCTTGTGGGAATGCTGGAGCCTATTATTAAATATTGTTAATAAATAATTAAATATCATTAGTATTTCATGTCAAATTTAATATTTAATTTTAATAATGACATTTTAATTATGTGTAATTCTAGAACTGTGTAGTCTCATTAGCTACATCGTCCCTATCTCCTCCAGGTTTGTTTATGTGGTACATTGTCCTGATGGACCAGGGCTGGATACTCCATTTCTGATTGACTATTCAGGGGTTTACTGTAGACGAGAGGGACTGGGAGGAAATTACATCACGGGAATGTCACCAGAGGAGGTATAGGCACGTTTTGAGTCAATCTCTTGACATATTACCTTTATTATCTGCATGAATTTATGCATTTGTTCATTCATTCATTATTATTTCTACCTTGTGCAGACAGAAGAACCAGATATCAGTAACCTTGATGTGGACCACGAGTTCTTTCAAGAGAAGGTCTGGCATCGTCTGGCCCACCGTATTCCTGCATTCGAGCAACTGAAGGTGAATTTCATAATGTAGAATTGTTCTTCATGTTATCCACTGCATCAAAGGGAGTTTTCTTGAGCTTTATTTAAAGTCCTGGGACTAATTGAACCGTTTCTGATGGCTGTTAGAGGGTAAAGTGCATTACATGGGTTTGCTTGTGTCTACTAGAAGTTCTACCACTCAGTTTTTTTCCAAATGAAGCACTTTGCTCTTATGGTCCATCTTTGCCAGGTCTCAAGCGCGTGGGCTGGGTTTTACGACTACAACACCTTTGATCAGAATGGCATTATTGGACTTCATCCTCTTGTGCCCAACATGTACTTTGCCACGGGCTTCAGTGGTCACGGTCTGCAGCAGTCTCCTGCGGTCGGACTCGCAGTGGCTGAGCTTATTCTGGACGGAGGCTATAAGACCATCGACCTTAGTGCTTTTGACCTTAAACGGATCCTCCTGCAGGAGCCCATACAGGAGAGTAACATCGTGTGAGGAGCACAAAAACATACAGGGAAGATGAATGTGTCCTCAGGATGGAGCCACTTGACATGAACGTCACAGTGATATCATAGTTCAGACAGAACTCTCACTGGAACAATGGAACTGAATTTTCAGGAGGATGAGTTCAGTTTGGAAACAAAACATAATCAGATTATTAAAAGGGTTAGTTCACCCAAAAATGAAAATTCTGTCATTAATTACTCACCCTCATGTCGTTCTAAACATGTAAGACCTTCGTTCATCTTCGGAACACAAATGAAGATATTTTTGATGGAATCTGAGAGCTCTCTGACCCTCCATAGACAGCAAGGATACGTAGCAAGGAACAAGAAACGTAGCAAGGGCATCGGTAAAATAGTCCGTCACATGGACTATTTTACTGATGCCCTTGCTACGTTTCTGTGCGTTGATCAGGGGTTCAACCGTAATTTTATGAAGCTACGAGAATACTTTTTGTGCGCAAAGAAAACAATAATAGCGGAAGACGGTAACTCAGGGAGAACAACTGCTGAATAAATTATGCTATTTTTGTTTTCTTTGCACACAAAAAGTATTCTCGTAGCTTCATAAAATTACGGTTGAACCCCTGATCAATGCACAGAAATGCAGCAAGGGCATCGGTAAAATAGTCCATGTGACGATTCCATCAAAAAAAATCTTAATTTGTGTTCCGAAGTAGGGGTGTGCGATATTGACAAATTATATCTCGATATTTTCTGCGATTTTATCGATTATAATTAGACGATATTTTGCTGAGTGTGTTATTGTGCTGGTATCTTGAACTGACTCCTAAAGTTTTTGATATTCTTCATATTCTGTGTGGTGGTCAGTTCACACTGATAGAAATGAATCTTTTTCAATAAGTTTAAATTGATTTTTAACTTTTATGGGCAGTTTTATAAAGCCATTTTCTCTCTAAGAGTGTCCATTATCTTTTGAGTCAAATTCTTACATTTAATCAGTGAATTAGATAATGCAGAGGAAACACAGAAGCTGCATCTGAAGTGGCATTTAGATGTGTTTACACACTGTTTAATGCAGGACATGAACGCATTTAACCTGCAGTTACAAATGGATAAATGTTTTGATATATTAAACCTAAAACGTTGAATACTGATATTTGAAAGAGACACTTTAAATGTGAAATTAAAACCGCCAGTAGGTGGCAGCAAGTCACTGTAAATAAGTGAGTCATTGCGATTGAACCAAATCATTTAAACTATTGATTCATTAAGGAACGAAACACTGTCCTGTTGCTGAGACACGCAAAACAGTGCTGTGCCTGTGTTTGGAATTATTTTTGTTGGTGAAATAGAGGAAAAACAGCCAAAATTGTGTCTAAAATGTAAGTCTCTTAATTAACTAATTGTTTATTGAACTGTTGTAAAAAAAAATCAATATCACATTTGTAATCATGGTAATTTTTGGAGAAAAAAACGGCACTCTTCGTGTGAAATTGATTAACTATGTGAAGTGGTATAAATGTATACATTTTCTGTCCCCATGTCTTGAATTTTGTGATCATTCTAAATGAATTTTATTAGTCTGAATCATTCAGTGAACTTCACGTAATGTATGCGTGCACTGAGGGTGTGTTTTGAATGGTTTTTGCAAAATACTTGATAATGTCAAATCGTACATCGTTAAAACTACAATTACGATATTATCGCAGACGATATATCGCACACCCCTATATTTTTGGGTGAACTAACCCTTTAAGACATGAAAGACAAGAGTGATCATTGCTGCTAGATTCAACAAAACATACTGTACAAGAAATGTATGGTAGAGATCAGGAAATTCAGATGGACATTTTGTCATTTGTAATTGCATATATTTAAATATGCATATGAAACAGATCATGATATATCCTATTGAAGTGCTTTTCTAGGTCCTCATATTCATACTGTTTCAGAAATGAATACCAAAAATAATCAGAAACTTTAAAAGTTTGTTTCTAAATCATACATCATGGACTGAATTTTATAAATCTGTACATCTTTAAATGTGTGTTAATAATGTGCTGTTTTATTTTAGCACGATTGATCAATTTCTATATATTTTTTTTCCAAGTTAATTTCCGTATTAATTTCTTACAAAAAAACCTTAGTGATCCCAAACCTTTACACACACACACACACACACACACACACACACACACACACACACGTATATGATGTATATATAATGTATAACTTAAAGTTAAATAGAAAACCAAAACGGACCCATAGAGGAACACAGTATAAAAACAGTTCGGATGAGAGAGAACAACTTTATCTCTTTGCCTTCTTCTCAAACATATCCAGGATAGATGTTGCTTTGCGTTTTACACCTGGAGAGAGAAAACAAGAATCAATAGTTGGTTCGAGTCGAGAATTTCATAATAAAATATATGTTTGTATATATAAATAATATTTTTAGGTCTAAATAATTACCTTTGGTGATGGTTTTGTCATCTTTGTCCTCGGAGGAGCGCTTTGCATATGCTGCTTTCATTCTCTGAATATTCTTTTTATGGACAATGTCATGCTCCACAATAGGACGAGGGTAATCTTTTCCCACAATGCACCCTGCTCTCTCCTGAACGCTCCGAGGAGCCTTCCAGGGCTCATATATGTACTCGGTAGGGAATTTCTTCAGCACTGGAAGGTATTTCCTGGAAGACAAGCAGAGTCAGCATTTTGTAAGTACTTGTTTCACAGAAACTTTTATATTAACAGAATATAAAAAACAAAACTAACTTAATGTAATCCCCATATTTGTCGGCGATAGGAGAGTACACTCTGAAATACTGTTGAAAGAACGCGCTGGCTGAGAGCCACTGCCAGTTTCCTGCGTTTAGCGACCAATCAGCATCCAGCAGCAGCTCCTCAAAAACCTTCAGATGATCGTGAGCAGAAACACAGCAGGTCGATTATATCTCTGATCTGTCTGTAACATAGCAGGTAACTGGGCGAAACATAAACCTTTTGGCCCTCCTCCCAGCTTAAAAAACAAAACGAACTTAATGTAATCCCCATATTTGTCGGTTTTCTTTCCAAAGGCGATAGGAGAGTACACTCTGAAATACTGTTGAAAGAACGCGCTGGCTGAGAGCCACTGCCAGTTTCCTGCGTTTAGCGGAAACCAATCAGCATCCAGCAGCAGCTCCTCAAAAACCTTCAGATGATCGTGAGCAGAAACACAGCTGGTCGATTATATCTCTGATCTGTCTGTAACATAGCAGGTAACTGGGCGAAACATAAACCTTTTGGCCCTCCTCCCAGCTTATCCACAAGTCTCCTCGGGTCAGAAAACAGGCAACCGCATGCCGGGCGAGATGATGTATCCAGCCCTCTTGACGTAATTGTGTCATGATGGCGTCAATGAATGGGAATCCGGTCCGAGCCTGAATTCACACATGCTCATCTTCTGGTTTATTGTCATTATAATATATTCAAAAAACACACTTTACCTCTCTCCATGCAGCCAGGTGCTCGGGATTGTTGTCCCAGTCCACTTGCACACAGTGAGGGTTGCCCTCCATTCTGTTGAAGTTTGGGATCCCGATGGCAGTGGTGTAGAAGAACTCTCTCCACAGCAACTGCCCATGCAGGGAGACTGGAGGTTTAGAGTGCTGCTTCTGCAAAAGACAACACCGCTGTCAGCCACACCAGGATCTTGCACTGTTAAACAGCTGCTTGTGGCTCAAGTAATGCATGAGATGTCTGACATACCCCTCTATACACTTCTGTGAGCCTCCACCAGAAGGTGCGTGCAGACAAGCAGCCGAATCGGACATAGGGGCTCAGGACGGTGGTGCTGGGGATAATGGAATTGGGGGATGTCTGTGGTTTTTCAAACTTGCACACCCACGCCTTCAAAAAGACAAAATCAGTATTTTCTTGTTAAGAACAATGTTTATATTGTCATTTATTTTTTAAAATTAATATTTCAGCTACTTATGCTTAAACATTCAATTTATGGTTAAAAATGTCTATATAAAATATTCAGCATGTATTGGAGGTATATTTATTGCATCCATAGTAATGCACTTCTTGCTGTATTAAGATCACCACAATTAAAATGATAATCAAATAATTTAATCATGAAATTAATTAAAAATTTTACCATGATATATTTAGGGTGACAACATGTATCTATATGTATTTAAGTATGCAGCCTATTCTAAAAATCTTAAAATCTCATTGATTTTCACTTTGAAAATGCTGTTGCTACCATATTTTTTTTATATTATTATTCTTAATAATACCTGGAATTTATGTACACCTTATATTCATAATCGATATTTAATGTATATACTTTTTTACATTTACATTTAAAATATATTTTTATAATTTATTTGTAACATTGTTTTATCCTTTTTTGGCACACTTTTTGACTACCACAATGCAATATATTTTTTTATTTTTTTAACTGCTGTATTTTTGTGTTTGCTTGGTTTTTATTTTGTGTTTATGCAACTCTTATATTACTTCAACTAGATGCTGACATGACAATACAAATAAACTTTATATATGTATATGTCCAAAGCAAACAAATAATTTTGACTATTCCTTATTTTTTTTATATGCTAGGCTTTACAGGGTTTTTATTTTTTAAAAATGTATGTACTGTTCTCTGCATGTGCTCATCCAGTCTGCGCAGAGCTTCCTGTTCACCCCCCGGGAACAGCTCTGGTCCTAAAGATGATGTATCCAGACCAAGATCTTCAAGAGTTGGAATCCCAAACTCCTCTTCATGGTCCTCAGAAGATGGAGTGGATACACCTTCCAAAGAAAGAGGCATTACAATCTCATCTCATTTAGCATGATGTCCAAAAAGATATCTGGATACCTTTCATGTCCTCTTTGGTTGGAGCAGAAACAGGTTTTTTAGGAGGACCGATGTCCTTCACCACACTTTGGAAGCGAACGTAAGTCATGGGAGGCTTGCCGTTGTTCTCTTCAATAATCCTGTTTGCAAATGCATGTGAGTATTTTGTGCATATCTTTATCAAAATATGATTTACAAATTACCTGTCAATGTTGTAGAGAGTGTGAGAAATCTTTGGAATAACTTCCACACCATATTCCTTGGCTAACTTCATGGCTTCCTTGTCTCTGCTCTGACTGTACGGCTCCGTATCAACCTCGAAAGTCAACCGAGTGATCTTCCATTTCTCAAAGAGCTTTGGAAGGACCTCTGTGGGCGGCCCACTGACAACAAACAGCCTAGAGGTACAAGAAACAAAAATGACATAAAACATGTTGAATGAAGAAAAACACATCTGTCCACATTTGACTCCATGTACCCTCAGCTCAAACCTCCACCTGATCTTCAGTTCCCATCCCTACCTGGAGTTGAGTTTCTTCAGACTGGAGTCCAGGTCTCTGAGAGCTTCTATCAGAAATCTCCATCGATTAATGCCTATGCAGGTGTTGTTGGAGTACCAGGGGTCCAGCAGGAAGAGGGGGTAGATGTGTCTACAGTCTTTCAGGGCAGCGATCAGAGCAGGATTATCATGCAAACGCAGACCCTTGCGGAACCAGTGAATGGAGTTATGGCTCATAGTCACTTTTGGGATGCACAGAGTCTGCACAGTTAGACGGGTAAAAAGGGCACTGGAAAAAATGAGTATAAATAGTACTTTAACAGAAAGTCCAACTACACAAATGTGTTTTTGCTGGCAGTGGTTTTGTATGTTGCGGCCAAAACAGCATTTTCACAGTAGTAATATCAATAATTTTGTTTTTGCTTGATGTTTTGTTACAATTTCCTTTTTCGCTGTTTTTTTTTAATAGTTTTAAATTAAACTGTTTAAACTTCACTTTATATAAAAGGTATTTTTTATTATAAAAATCCTATCAAATACATGTCTATTTCAAATTAGTATCCATAATTTCTCAAATTAATTTCTATAAATTTTCACTTAAAAAACACTTGTTTTTCAATTTATTATGAAAATAATCCACTTAAAAGGCTATTTCAGTTTTCAACTGTGCATTAATATAGTTGGGATTAATGGTATAAACTCAATATTCAGTACTGCAACATAAGTCTTATTAGAAATAAAAATGTAGTTTTAAAAGTGTAGCAATATATTAAAATGAACTTGAATCTAACGTGTCTTACAATCAATCGGATTCAAAGAGCTTGTTAATTCTGCGATATATATTATCGTTCCTCTGGTTACGCCTAAAGTCTCTGCAATCAAAAACACACATTCTGAGATAATAGTGCAATATAACTAAATACTCTATGGGTATTTTAATCAATGAAATAATGATCAGTACTTACGGGTTTTCTGATTACGTGAGCTCTGTCTTGCGTTTTGTAACAAGTTTCCCCAACGTTACAAAAGAGCCACTCAGCAGCACACATGTCTCACAAGCTCAGCCAATCAGTGACTGTTTACATGCTACAGGCTAACCAATCAGGATGTAGTCGTTGAGGCATGCGCAGGGGTTTATTTTCCCCACGTGTTTAGCTCGGTGCATCCTGGTTGGTTGGTGTTCAGCGGGTTGAATCATGGCGGATAGCGAGAACGGGGGAGCTGCGAAAAGACTGAAAACCGATGCGGAGAATGATTGCGGAGACGCGGGAGAGCCAGTATCCGACAGCCTGGTCTCGGACTTCGAAATCAGCCGAATTTTGCGCGACTGTGCGCGGGAGAAGAACATCTTCATCCATGGGAAGGTGTGTGTGTGCGGGAGAGAAATCACTCTGTGAAATCAGCTACCATCTTTTTTGTTACTAACGCCGTTCACGTTTCATTAGATACTGGCATTTAAATTAATAAGCTCTTACTCATTATTAGACAGCAGTACTTGTGACTAGTACATATTCATTACATGTTAGGATTTATTTGTGACCCTGGACCACAAAACCAGTCATAAGTAGCATGGGTTTATTTGTAGCAATAGCCAAAATTATCGATTTTTTATTTTATGCCAAAAATCATTAGGATATATTAAGGAAAGATCATGTTAAATGAAGATATTTTGTAAATTTCCTACCGTAAATATATCAGTATTAACTTAATATATAATATATATACTTAATATAACTTAATTTTTGGTTAGTAATGTGCATAGGACTTAATTTGGACAACTTAAAATTTTCTCAATATTTTTTATTTTTTGCACCCTCAGATTCCAGATTTTCAAATAGTTGTATCTCGGCCAAATGTTGTCCTATCCTAACAAACCATACATCAATGGAAAGCTTATGTATTCAGCGCTTTCAGATGATGTATAATTCTCAATTTCAAAAAATTGACCTTTTTGACTGGTTTTGTGGTTCAAGGTCACATTTCTCTGTTACTACTAGTCCAGTAGTGACAGTTACTGTAGCATTACTGGTAACAAACTGTGGCCGAAATATCTGAAACTTCTTGTTACTGTGTAAACTATTACAGTTTTACTAGGAACTATTGGGTAGTAGTGCTTATGACTAGTACCCTCTCCAATTTTTATAGTACTTATTTTTTAAATGCTGTTTGTCTTTTGTTATACACACTAAGCCAATTGCTTATAGTAGTAACATTTTGATGTTTTATAGCTTTATTTGTTAACGTTTTATAAGGTCCCAATAGTTAAGGTTAGTAAATGCATTAACAAACATTACCTAACAATGAACAATGCTTTAGCAGTTTTTATCTTTGTTAACGTCAGTTAATAAAAATAAAACCATTCGCTGTTAGTTCATGTTAAGTTAACTAAAATTAACAAATGGAACCATATTGTAAAGTGTTATCAATTTTACTTGTACTAATGCTAGTAAGATTACCTACTAGTAATTAAAAGTAAGTACTATTATCATTAAAAAAAATACTAGTTTATACACTCTAAAAAATGCTGGGTTAAATATAACCCAGCGCTGGGTTATATTTAATCCAGCATTTTTTAGAGTGTAGGAATAAATGTTACAGTGACCTGCAATCGCTGGGTTATGTTGTGTTTCCTAGGTGAAGGATCAAGACGCTGTTGTGATCCTGGAGAAAACTCCCATCAGACAGGACACACTGTCTGAGTTACTGAAGAGCAGTCAACTCAAGCTGGAGATGAAGAACGATGTGTACAGCACATACCAGCTGCAGGCTCCTGCGCACCTGAACGGTAGGATCACAACACAACAGGTTTTCACCAGCTTCTCTCTCTCTATCCTATTTGATAACATATACAGGACGAGTGGCTTGCTTGTACTACCATGCTGTATATGGTTTAATATAGTAAGCATTTAGTATCCTGATACAGCATGGTATTACCTTTTGATACCATCACTGTAAAATTTGTTATATATACACTACCGTTCAAAGGTTTGGGGTTGATACGATTTTTTTAAAAGTCTCTTAAGCTCACCCAGACTGCATTTATTTAATATAAAAATACAGTAAAAAACACGTAATTTTGTGAAATATTAGTAAATTGTAAAATTTTGTACATTTTGTATTTTAAAATATAATTTATTCCTGTGATGCCAAAGCTGAATTTTCAGCTTCACTACTGCGGTCTTCAGTGTCACATGATCCTTCAGAAATCATTCTAATATGCTGATTTGCTGCTCAAGAAACATTTTATAGTATTATCAATGTTGAAAACATTGCTGCCTTATATATTTTAATATACAACCGTTGTACTTTTTATAGAAAATTCAAAAGAACAGCATTTATTTAAACTATTAATTGATTTACATTTGCCATTTGATATATATTGCTATTTTTATTTTTATATCAGTGATTATTCATTTAAGAACTTTCCTGTTTCTTACTATGATTTTAAAGATGTTTTAAGCATTCTAAGTTTAAAGGGTTTATTTTTAAATATCATTTGTAATTTTTTTTAAGAGTCACATTTTTAATTTGCCAGGAACCTCTCCTATATACTTTTAAAAGTGTGAAAATATACTTGGAACTTTTTCCTATGAATTTGCATCACAATTACACAATTTCTCATTTTTGTAATAAAGAATCACTGTCCCCAATACTGCTGTCATTACCTTCACAGCACGTTTCTTCAAAGATTTTTACTGTTTAGTAATTGAAAAACTTGCACGACTGCTTATCGAAAGTCCAAAGCTTGTTCAGCTCCATCACATGCAACATACAAAATCCACACCATCACACATCAAACCAAAAATAAAAAACAAAATTGTTTATAACAGAAATCAAAACCACAGTGGTGTGCCCTGCGACAGAGAAGCATGTTAAGAAGTATTTGCATCAGGAGGTTTTTCTGGTTGAGGAATCAGGAGAGGATTTTCGTAACCTCACCCTACCATACATCAGCAGCCAGTGTTTCAGTGTGCAGGTGAGGCTTCACTGACCTCTGACCCTTCATTTCAGTGTTGTTTCTGTCCCATGTGTCTCCTTCCTAAATGAAGCATATAACTGCACTGCCCATGTTTCATTTGGTTTCAGTGGGTGCATAACATATTGGAGAAGAAAGCCGAGGCTGATCGGATTGTTTTTGAGGATCCAGACCCCGATACTGGTTTTGTTCTGTTGCCCGATTTCAAGTGGGATCAAAAGCAGGTGAAGCTGAGTTGAATCAATGTCGTAATATCTAGGAGTGAAAAAAGCCCAGTGTAAAACAAGGAATGTTTCCTTTCCTCTCCAGCTACAAGACCTGTATTTGATTGCTATTGTCCATCGGAAGGATGTTAAAAGTTTAAGGGATCTTACATCAGAGCACTTGCCGTTACTCACAAACATTCGCAGAAAAGGAGAGGTGAGTTATGGATCATCTAAGTTCATCTATACTGTAAAAAAAAGATTTTTCAAAGATGTAAATACAGCAGTCAACATTTGAAGTGGATCAAAACCTTTCATCAAAGTTGTCCTAAAGCCTAAAACCAAAATGTGTTCTTGTCTTAGGACAACTTTGATGAACTTTTTTGATCCACTTCAAATGTGGACTACTATAGATAATGCAATACGTTTTACAAGAAAATATTATTTCAGTCTTTCTATTTAAAATGTGATTCAGTGTGTTACATGCCATTTCTTTTGAAATTAATTGTAAAATTTACTAGCAATTTCTGACTGAGAATAGTTTCTACATAATTTTTCTTCAGTGTACAAATAAATTCACAATGAATAGAGTTGTGGTTCTGATGTCCACTAGATGTCACTGTTGATCTGAACATGTGAACCACTCTCTGCTTGTCCACTGTATCTGCTTGCTTTTTAAAAGCACGTGGCGCAGTGGTTACCACATATGCACTAGATGTATTGCGCTGTGGTGATCATCTGGAAGACGCGGGTTCGATTCCAGCCTGCAACATTTCACAATCTCAACTCAAAAGCCCTAAAACACCATGAAGATATCAGCAAAGTACATTTGTGAGCTGGCTGCATATGTCAAATTTAAATTCAAGTCTCGTCTATATCCACAGGACGCCATTCAGCGGCAGTACAGTGTCCCTCCGAGCAAACTGCGCGTGTATCTCCACTATCAGCCATCGTACTATCACCTCCACGTCCATTTCACTTCTGTGGAGTACGACGCTCCAGGTTGCAGAGTGGAAAGAGCCCACTTGCTTTCCGATGTCATTCAGAACTTGCAGGCAGATTCCAGTCACTATTACAAACGCAGCCTGGCGTTCCCGCTGCGGGCCGATGATGGTTTGCTCCTTAAGTTCAAAGAGGCTGGGAAAGTCTAGAGACCAGATTTTTGGTAACCTTTTTTTTTACTTTATAAATGTTAAGTATCTGTACACTGCTTTTAAAGGATGCATTATTACAGTATCTACTAGATGTATTGTTAAAAGCTCATGTTTTGAGCTTTGTTAGTAGTTTTATGTCTAAAACCAGTTAGATTTTGTCAACTGCATTTTTATTAAAGTACTCATTGTTTTTAAATTGGATGGTTATGTCTGTCTGTTTTTTTCATGCTGTGGTTGATCGTGTGGATGGAATGCAAATTGATCACCCAAAACCTCAATTGTTTTGTCAGGCTGTGCACCTGTCTGTGGTGTGACGTGGAAATTCATTTTAAAGCAGAATTTGAGCCAGTGGGTCCCCAGGCCTAATTCTTTGAGGTTTTAGGGGTCCTTTGAAGAGATTTGGCTGTGACTGACAGAGCAGCGGGCTGCAATGAGGCTCCTGCGCTGTTTTTAAATCTTCTGAAAAATGAATGAAACCTACTGGTTTAATATTAGTCCAAGATGCATTAAGAGTAAAATATTGTGAGTGCAACACAAGTGATACTGTTTTTGGCTTCCAGAAAGTTCAGCTGCAGTGAGGTGTATAGACTTTGGTTCAGAGCTCATTGTAAATCCAGGGCTAGAGAGGCAGAAAAAGCCCAAAATTCCCCTGAAGAAAAAAAGATTGACTGTTCAAAGTTTATGTGCTGTTTGTTTGTGGTTCAAATGAGTTTTTAAAGAAGATTTCATTGCTTTACATTACACAATCAAAGTCTTACAATGCCCTCGGTTCACAGGGAATCACAAAACACAATAGAATTATTCTTGCTGATATATCTGCTCAGTTAATACTTTTTTTTTTTTTTTAAAGGACAGTTCACTGGAAATAAAAAAAAAAATTGTCACGAGCTACTTGTCCTAATCTGTATTTTGTCCTGTTTTCTTACAAAAATCCATTGTGCGGCTTTAGATGACTTGGAATTTAGCACTCACATTGTATGGACTGGGTTTTTGGTCTATTTGGACCTCAGCAGCCATTAGTTTCCAATCTATTTTAATTATTTTTGTGTCCCACAAAAGCGTTGCTTCTGGCTAAAATATGAGTCCTCTATGCCAGTGAATCTCAACCTTTTGGCGTATCGGACCCCAGTCCAATTCAGAACCATCCTCAAGGACCCCCAGAACAGAATTGACACATCTATGTATCATTTGTGTCTTTGTGAAGACCAAATACAGTCAAGTATAATTCAATTTAGCTGACTTGTCCAGTATTTGGCCATATCATCAGCTATATTGGATTTTTCTTTTATGGGAACATGTCATGTCAAAATATACAAAACTTATACAAAAATTCATACTTTATACGGACCCCCTGGGCTTACATCTAGGACCACTAGGGGTCCACAGACCCCTGGTTGAGAAACACTGCTCTATCCTATTGCTTTCTCTAGTTAAAAATTTGTCTCATTTGAATAAAATATTATGGAAAAGTATTCACAGATTAAGCACCGTTTACAAGAGATAACAGTTCTAAACAAATATGGAACAAGTGAAGGACTTTTTCACTGGAGGAAGCGTTATTATGGATTATGGACTCATATTTTGGCCAGAAGCAATAGTTTAAAGTTAAATCGCCTCTGGTTTTGGTTCTTGCAAACACTCAGAACGACCTACTTGATTCATATTGAGAGATGTCAAAGATGTTTTTCCTCTAAAGCACCTGAAGCCAGTTGCAACAAATCCCTTAGTAATGGTACTGGTACAATGATAACTAATTGCTTTCTTTCCTTAAGGGTTTTGTTGTATCTGGCCACTGCTAATTTCAGTGTCACTATAACTAAATCACTTGCGCGCTCCCACTCAGGCTTCAGCTCATTGTTATGTTCATCTTATTACTCATTTGCTGTGATATGTTTGGCAGCAGGATTCAATATTTAGACAGAAAATTCCAGAGAAGAATGTAAAAGTCCTTAAGAGCTTTTAAACGGCCTTACTGAGGCTCTTCAGAACAATTACATAATTATGCCACACAAGTGCTGCTGTCAGAGCCACTCCATCTCCATATATCACTCCGCTCTGCTCTCCAGTTCAGAACAATGCTTTTTTGTAAATTATTTTTTTTTTAAATATTTTTTAGTGTACTTACTGAGTGCATGAAATGAGAACATAATGTAATGGGAGTGTAATGAGAATGTATGTTATATTTATGCATCATGTTGACATTAAATGTGATGGAGCTTCATTGTTATTAAGGTGGAAACTTTTCTGGCCACCAGCCAGTGGTCTGGTGAAACAATTTTAGCAGGTTTTCAACAGCTAGTAGATGTTTTCACATGGCATTTTTAGCTTTTCTATTAAAAACAGCGTATAAAAGTTAAAACCAGCTTTTACAGTGTCGAAAAGTTTAAAACCATTAGTGAAAACTGTCTTTTGGAATTTTTTTATATTAGTTTTGTGGGTTTAAAATGTATTAATATTTTAAATATTATATATTTACTTTAAATATTATATTCAAAATTATATTACATTATATTATTATCAATTTTGATCACAAATGAAATGGTCACAATGAAAATCTGACATTTTGTGCAATGTTTACATGTTGAATGCCACAGTTTTGCTTAGAAACGGACATTTTCATATTCCTGAATCTTGTTTCGGCTTTTAAATTTTATTTCCATTTTAGTCTCAATCCTTTGGATATATTCAAAAAGCTCATGTTGGAATCAAACCCATGACTTTGTTGTTGTCAGCGCCATGCTTTGTTTGAGGTACAGGATTTAAATCTAACACCTCTTTGTTTCTTTCTCTGAAATGATTTATGTGATATGATATATGAGTGTGGTTTGACACCATTTGTCAATCTGAGGTCTATCTTACTCCAGTGTTACAGAGGAAGTTAGTGTGGTTACGTGTGATAAGTGGTATTTGTGTAGCGTGTTAGCAGCATCTCTACCTGAGCGGCCCTGTGTGCTTGACTGCGGTATTTTGAATTGTGCCTGTTCATTTTTGATTGCAATTAAATTTGTGTCAGTGTACTTGAGTTTACTAAAAACGTTAATATAATTTGTTCAGATTAACACTAAGTAGGCAAAGAACATCCTGTGTGTTTTCCTGCTTGCTTCTGTAAATTCCCTGCAGTGTGGCTTTTGTTTACATTTAGCACTTGAACTAAATCTCGAATCTTATGATTCATTTAAACTTAACCAGGTGGACATTTTCACAAAACTCACGAGTTAAACTTTGACCTTCACTGTAAATGTATTATTCAGCTCTCGTTCACATCAGTTTATTTAAATGCAAATGCAGAGATGTGGGGAGTCAGAAGGGGGTGAGGGGGCAAGGATCAGTGCAACGAGAAATGTGATTCAACTTTTTGTGTTGTTCTTTGCAAAGCCTTTGCGTTCCCATGGGTACAAGCAGCAAGGAGCTCCACAGCTGAAGTTCCTCTTTTCAGATGGGGTTCCCTGATTGCTGAGGAGAATCTGAAGAGGAATTTGGATAACTAGAACATTGACCCTCAATGCAAACCCATCCCGTATGCTATAATGGTGTCTCTTTAATTGGTTTTCATGTGGTTTGCGTTGGTTGATTTGTGTGCGAACACTACATCTGATGTGAGGTTAGTTTTGGAACCATTTTCTAAGCTGTCTTTGCTTTATAGTGTGTAAACTGTGGCATGTGCCTGGGATTAGGACATTTCATTGAGGATTTTAGCAGCACCCCGATGGTTATATGCTTGGAAAGAGAACTTCATGGCCTGAACTTCAAGCAACACTTTGTTTGCTGGGACGTTTTCAGTTTGCAGGTACGAGGCGAATAATTTTTCACATTTATAGGTGGCAAAGAAAGCAATCAGTGCTTTATTGGTGTGGTTTGTTGTGTTTGAGTGGATTATGAGCTGCAGTAAATGCAGTATTTATCTTTTATTGCCTACATAGCTTTGGGTTTGTAAGCAACTATGAATTTCAATGTGCTTTCTTACAGAAGAAAAATTATTATTTTTTTAAAAACTTTTTTTATCTTATAAAATAATATTATATATATATATATATATATATTAGTGCATAACTGATATACATGTTTATGTTTTTCTGCTAGCTGAAAGATGTTCCAGTTCATCCGGAAACAAATTCACAATCACCTTGTGGAGCGGAAAATTAGGAGAACTCGTCTTGTTACAAAGGATGGCCACTGCAACATTAAATTTGGGACTACTGAATATCACAACCATTTTGCTTTCCTTATGGACTTCTGGACTACTTTTGTTGAGATTCAGTGGTGTTTTGTAATTTTTTTATTTGCCGCTGCTTTCACAGGAAGTTGGTTCATTTTTGGTTTGCTTTGGTACTCGCTTGCAAAAAATAACGGAGACTTAGATGTTCTCCAGAACTCGTCGGAATCCCAGCGGATGAAATGTATAGATAACATTAACAGTCTCACGACTGCCTTCTTGTACTCTTTAGAGACCCAGACGACTATTGGCTATGGCGGTCGGGCTCTCACGGGTCACTGCCCGGGCACAGTCGCCTTGTTGATCATCCAGTCCCTCATGGGCGCCATCATAAACTGCTTTATGTGTGGACTCATTTTGGCAAAGATCTCTCTCCCGAAAAGAAGAGCAAAGACGGTAACCTTCAGTGAAACAGCGGTCATTTGTCTTTGGAAGGGGAATCTGTGCCTCCAGATACGTGTGGCCAACCTACGAAAAACTCTTCTTATTGGCAGCCACATTTATGGAAAGCTTCTCCGAACCACCATCACTCCAGAGGGGGAAACCATCATACTCGATCAGGTGAATATTGACTTTTTGGTGGATGCTGGGAAGGACAACCTGTTCTTCGTTTGTCCACTTGCCCTGTACCACGTGATCGACAAATTCAGCCCGTTTTCCGAAATGGCTGCGAACACTCTTCAGCAGCAGGACTTTGAGTTGGTGGTCTTCCTGGATGGAACGGCTGAATCCACCAGCTTGTCCTGCCAAGTCCGAACTTCCTACCTGCCACAGGAGATCAAGTGGGGTTACAACTTCCTGCCCATCATCTCTCGCACCAAGGGTGGGAAATACCGTGTCGACCTGTCCAACTTTTCCAAAACGGAGCCAGAGGTGACCCCACACTGCGCTTGTTGTTTCCACAATGAACATAACAAGGAACTCATTCTCCACCGACACGAACGTGAAGGCATCGATAATCTGGTATTTGATGTTATTGACCTTCAAGACTCTTTTGATGTAACTGAGAAGAGTGATTAAGAGTTTGCTGCAGCAGCGACTGATTAAATACGCAGTAAACATCCTGTGATATGGTGGCATTTTGTACTGTAAAAGTTAGATGCCACATAAAAGAGGAGAGAGGAAGAGGAGGACTCGCTATGTTATGTACCTTGACAGACACATTGGCTGTGTTCCAAAACCTAGTGAGCTGCCTGTGTAGGCAGACTTTAAAAGAATCATGCATTTCTGACACAAAGCCTGTTCCATAAGGTAGTGATTGTAAAAACAAGATGCCTTGTTTTGATCAAACTGTTTTGATCAAAAAAGATGGTGGATAAATTGGGAGAATTTTGCTGTTTTATCAGGATTCTTTGAATAGAAAGTTCAGAAGAACAGCATTTATTTAAAATATAAATTTCTTGTAACATTATAGAAGTATCTATTGTCATTTTTGAAGTTCTTTAAAAAAAAAGGCTTACTGACCAGTCATATTTGTATTTGTGTGTATATACATATATATATATATACAGGGCTTGACATTAACGCTTGTCCGGGACAAGTGGATTTTGTGAAGGGGCAAGTGAAAGAGAATTTTACTTGCCCGACCAGACAAGTAACCTGATTAAAATGTTAATGACAAACAATAACTAGGGCAGCACCGAAACTCTGGCGAGAATGATTCTGATTTTATTACTTTCAGTGTAAACGGTGACTAATAACAGATAATGTAGGCCTATCGACAGTATCAAGGTCGCATGAGTTGAGGCTCGTGCAGCCTGTCTGACTCATGGAGAAATCAAAACTATAAGCCCAACAGCACACACAAAGAAACAAACATGAACAAACATACTGCGGTCGAAAAAAGATAAATATTCTATATAATATATGCAACATCACACGACCAAGAGTGATGTTTTCCCGACTTTCAGCACGATTGCAAATGTGATATTGATTTTATACAACTTTAGTTCAATAAACAAGTAATATTAACTGACTTACATTTTAGACACATTATTGGCCATTTTTGCTCCATTTCGCTAACGAAAATAATTCTAAGCAAAGCCACAGCAGAACAGTCGCGCATCTCCGAGCAACACACAACAGTTCCGTTACTGAATGATTCAGCATTTTTGAACGAATCGGGTGAGCCAATGATTCAGTGAGCCACTCATAAGCTGTGTCCCAATTCATAGGCTACGTCCTTCGAAGGACCCATTTGAAGGCCGATTACGTCACGGCAGCGCGACGAGGACCATCCCAATTCACGATGCATCCTCCGAAGGCTGCATTTGAAGGCCGTTTGCGTCACCGCGGCGCGACGAAGAAATGCGTCCTCCATTTCTCCGGCAAATGAAGGATACATCCGATGGATCCTTCGCAGCCTACTCTATCCCAGAATTCATAGCGCGCCAGTGAAGAGGGTTTTTTTATTCAAACAAAGTGGGTGACGGTTCTGTGGCGGCCGAAGTGGGATATCATCTGGGATGGTCTCCAGAGTGTTTGAGTGCATATTTCCACTGTCCTAACATCCTCTGCCGGCTGGTCGCTCCCGCTTCACAGCAAGCAGCGCTCGCAATAACGTAAATTCAGTCTGTGTTTTGACTTCAGTAAATCAGTTTTGGCAAATACAAACAACGTGATTATTTTTCACGAGTCCAACATCCAGCCGTGCAAGAAAACATGCAATCTACCTGAGACGTGATCAATAAGGGAAGCCGTCTTTTACTATTGCAAAATAGAGAAAAAAACATTTTACATTTAAATAACTAATAGCTTCTTAACCTTGGACCTCATTCTTGAAACACAAAATGACAAATAAAAAAAAGTGTCAAACACTTTTATATATATATAGGCCTACTTTTCTGAACTTGGGATCCCTAAGTTACCTGCATGGTCTTGGCTAAGCCTGAAATACACCACCTGGCGGTGCCGGGGGTGAACCATCACCAACATTTCCTCCAGTATAAGGTATAATAAATAGTCAAAAACTAACAATTCAGGCTCCATAGTTATTTTCAGTTTCATTAACAAATCTCAGGATGGCAGCTCTCTTCTCGCACCGTTGCCACGCGACAGGAGTATTAATCGGGAACACCTGCTGGCGCAATCAGGAAATTCTGTGAAGGCTAGACTCGGAGCGTCCTTCGAAGGCCGTGTCGGCCGCATCCTCCGAAGGATCAATGACACACTCATTAAGACCGTGACTTGCCCCCACCTACCGGTGGTTTGAATTCATATTTAAAAGAATCATTGCATTTTTCCAACATTTCATATTTGTATGTCAAAAAAAGTAAAACATTAATCTAATAACATTGTTTATGCATTTGCAATTTTGAGTAAATGCATTTATGGAACCTCTTATCGTCATTAAATAGTGTAAATCTATAAACATTGTTTATTTTTGCAAAGCAACTTATAATTTCTAAATGACAGAAATTTGCTTCAATTCAACATCAGAAAAACAACAAAAATTAAATGAACAATACATAAGATTAAGAGAAAAAAAATTATGTACACTTTCATTCAGATGAGGTGGTGCTGCTCCTAAGTTACCTGCATGGTCTTGGCTAAGCCTGAAATACACCACCTGGCGGTGCCGGGGGTGAACCATCACCAACATTTCCTCCAGTATAAGGTATAATAAATAGTCAAAAACTAACAATTCAGGCTCCATAGTTATTTTCAGTTTCATTAACAAATCTCAGGATGGCAGCTCTCTTCTCGCACCGTTGCCACGCGACAGGAGTATTAATCGGGAACACCTGCTGGCGCAATCAGGAAATTCTGTGAAGGCTAGACTCGGAGCGTCCTTCGAAGGCCTCACTCATTAAGACAGTGACTTGCCGCCACCTACTGGTGGTTTGGTTTCATATTGGTTTCAAATCATTGCATTTTTCCAACATTTCATATTTGTATGTCAAAAAAAGTAAAACATTAATCTAATAACATTGTTTATGCATTTGCAATTTTGAGTAAATGCATTTATGGAACCTCTTATCGTCATTAAATAGTGTAAATCCATCTAAATGGCACTTTTGATGCAGCTTCTGTGTTTCCTCTGCAGTGCAAAGTTGGAGTTTGTTGATTCTGATTTCATTTGAATGGTAACAACCATGTCTTATTATTCTAGCTGAATGTATTGATAATTTTAAGAATTTGACGTAAATGGTGACGTACATTTAAAAAGGTTAGGAAAATATTGCCCTTCATAAAGTTAAAAAGTGTAACAGAAATCAATTTAAGGCAAATATCACAAATATGCTGATTAAAGTACCTGATGGAGCACTGGTGAGACTATTGCTTCAGAATAAATTACATTTATGCCAAAAAAAAAAAGGACCACCTTTTCTTCCCCCGGACAAGTGAATGACTGATTTACTTGTCCGAAGGACAAGCACATGTCAAGGCTTAATGTCGAGCCCTGATATGTATATGTGTGTGTATATATGTATATGTGTGTGTGTGTATATGTATATATATATATGTGTGTATGTATGTATATGTATGTGTGTATATGTATGTATGTAAAACTTTGCATGATGCACAGACTTGGCTATAAATACAGTTGACATGATGGCCCCACCTACCTGTGGGTGAAAACAAACCCCAGTTACCATAGTGACCCATTCAGTTCTAAGGGGAAAATGAAGACAAATGCTGTAGACATGCACATTTTCAGATGTTTGATTGCACATGCATCTCACATCCTGTCAATGAATTGCTTTTAATCACAACATGTCTTCTTTTACACCATTTTATTCAGTTGAAAATTCTTTTCAATTGACCTGCAAAAAAAATTATAAGCAATTTTTTTAAAATTACGTATTAATAGCCAAATCTATTGGATAATTTTCTTTTGTTCCCTCCACACTAAACCACACCTTCAGTGTATAACTCTGAAACCCCCAGAGAGCGTTTCAAATAATCAGTTATGAGGCTTCTTTTGTTAGAATCCAACCTTAGAATGCAGATGTCTCTTTAAACATCAAGACAGCTCACTCGGTTTTGGAAAACAGAAAAATCTGTGTAAAATGTGACTACGTTTTTATTCTGTTTCATAAAGATGTAACTTCTAACAGAATCACTGGAGAACAGTTTGGGGAGCTCCATTAGAATAAGTTATTTAAGTGCTCTTTGATTGCAGACATTGACAAGAGTCGCCTGCTGAGTGTTCAATGGAGGATTAGAGCACAAGCCAAATTAGATTAAGGAGACGCATAAGAGGAGGGAGTGGAACCCAGTTCCCCCTACCCCAACATATGTTACTAAATAATTAATATGTTAACATTATTAATGTATTAAAGCATTAAAATAATTCAGGACCAGAGAGAGTCCTTCATGTCATAAACACAAGCATATTTCATGCACCTTTCGGGATGCGATCTGAGAATGAATGTGATTTTTCTAATTGCCTTGTAAACATTTTTGTTGTGCAGATTAAAAAGGACTGACCTATAAAAGACTCATTCACTCTGAACCAAGTGGCTTTTAGAGAGGCTGAAAGGTTCGATTCTGCATGAATGTCATACATTTTTATCTTTATTCACTAACAGATGAGTAATTTCCACATTACCTAAAACAGTAAAGCTTCTTTTAATTAAACGTTTAAGCCTTTTATCGTCATAATGTCCATGAAATTGGGGTTTTCAGGAGGGTTATATTTTTGTCTTCCAGCGTTATGAAAATCTGACCTCTCCAGATGACCTAGTAGTAGTTTTAAGTTATGTCTGACAACATTCACATGCTATAATCCTTTAAATAAATATGCACATGGCAAAGAAAAAACATAGCATAACATAGCCTATCATCAGATAATAGCCTAATACATGTGTTATAATATGGTAGCCTACATTTACCCATGGTTATATTTTACCCCTGGCAGTGTTGGGGGTAACGCATTACAAGTAACGCGAGTTACGTAATCAGATTACTTTTTTTCAAGTAACTAGTAAAGTAACGCATTACTTTTTAATTTACAAGAGAATATCTGAGTTACTTTTTCAAATAAGTAACGCAAGTTACTTTTTTTTTTTCCAATTTATTGATTGACAGCTCTCCTGTCCCCATGTTGAGAGAAATCAGAAGATGTTACTGTAGTTCTAAAATAAATATGAATATGCATTAATTCATCTCACTCACAAAAAAAAACACACAGATTCTCAAAATGAAATAAAATAATGCAACTCAGAATATGACGCGAACCTGCAATAATTAAATGTTAAACAACACAAATATACTTTGTATTTAATCCCATTCTATTAACCAATGTCTTTGCTTCTGACCTTCGATGATCCAGTTCAACCATACTAATAAGCA